CATTAGCAAAATAAGAAGAAATGTTGGGCACCAAATCAGCATATTAGAATGATTTCTGAAGGATCATGTGACGCTGAAGACTGGAGTAATGATGCTGAAAATTCAGCTTTGATCACAGCAATAAATTACATTTTAAAATGTATTGAAATAGAAAACAGTCATTTTAAATTGTAATAATATTTCACAATAGTACCGTTTTATTTAATAGAACTGTAGCCTTGGTGAAAACTTCGGGTTATCTTTAGGGTTAGTAATGATAACTATTGGTTACTTTGATAAAACCATATTGGATGATCACTAATCTGATAGTCTCGATATCATTGGTGGTTACGGCCATTGTATTTTGAGACTGGGGTGAGAAAATATAAATTTTCTTTAAAGGTCATATGTTAAAAAATGGCAAAAAAAAAAGTTAAGACACAAATAGCACTGAAAATGTGCCAACTAAGTGATATGAGGGATATAACTATTTTCCGGCCAAGAAGGCCATAGCAGATACGAAGATGGCTCATTTTTACAGTCGGATGCAAGTGAAGATGAGATCAGCCACAAAGAAACATGTTCAGATGGACGCTTGCATGCACTTGAACAGATATGGGTGACAAACACATAAGCGAGCCGTTCTACATGTGACAGCTACATGCAGTGTTTCATTAGTGGATGTGACCCAGTTTGATGTGCGTTAGCTTCAGTGCAGAAGGAAGTGATGCGAGACATTAACCTCAAGAGAACGTGCAGTTCTGCACTGTAACATCACACAAAGCCTGGATCGCTGGTAAGCTCTTGTTGCATATTTTGAGGTGTCATTTGTGAGCTTTTGTTTAATATTTCTTGTGAGTGTGTGAATTGTATGAACCAGTGGGATACATGTAAGTAGGCCTGTAGTCCCAAAAATGCATGATGGTATTTGAGAGGAATTTAGAATACATTTCTGTTTGTGACTTGGGAGAGTTCGTATTTGAATGCACTTGAGAGGTGTTTTCATCTGTGTGGGACTCTCCTGTGTGTTGTGTGTGTGAGTATGAAGGCTTATCAGCTCACAGCAGCTTTCTGTCAGGGCTTCTCGGCCAAGCGGCTATCAGAAAGAACACACCACTGTCACCACAGGAAACTCACCCCTGTCTTTTCCCTTAGTCTGTTGTCATTGTGAGGGATTGTTCTGAGCCACTTTGACATTCGCCATGTAAGTGTTCACCTCATTAGTATGCATTTCATTTGTTTAATGTCACAATATTGTCAAAACTTTTAGGTCAGGTAAGGACTTTTTTTTATAGGAGTGTGCACCTGTGTTTCTGTTGTGAAACTGCTTTTTTTGTATCGGCGTCAGATCCAAATGGACCCTCTTGGAGGAAAAGATATTGAAGCAAACCCAACAGGTAGTGAGGAGATGCAACTTCCTGTTCTGACTCAACCTGGCCTCGGAGAGACCACGACAACAGTGACCACTATCTCTCAAACGGGAGGAGACTGGAGCACAGGACTGTTTGAAGTGTGCGGTGACACCAGCACATGTAAGAGGAAGTGCTTGAGAGAGGATTGATATAGGCATTATGAGATCTACGTAAAGTCACATTGTGGGTTACAAGTTGCTACTACAAAAAAAAAAGTTAGAAATACAAGATAAGTCTCATTGTGATGTATAAAGCAAAAGTTTTGAGATTTAAAATCAAAATTGGGAGAGATGCATGTTTGCATTTGCTAGAAACGGTCATAGTTTGAGAAACAAACTCTCAAATGCGAGACTTAAAGGGTTAGTTCACCCAAAAATTTAAATTAGCCCATACATTACTCACCCTCAAGTCATCCTAGGTGTATATGACTTTCTTCTTTCAGACGAATCCAGTCGGGAGTTATATTAAAAATTGTCTTTGATCTTTCAAGCTGTTTAGTGGCACTCAGCGGGTGTCGCATGCATCAGTCCAAAATAAGTTAAATAAAAAGCGCCCATCCATTTAAAAAAAAGTGTCTCACACGGCTCCGGGGAGTGAACAGAGGCTTTCTGTAGCGAATCGATGCGTTTTTGTAAGAAAAATATCCATATTCAAAACTTAATAATCACTTTAATGTAGCTTGCACTCACTGTTGTACACTGGAAGCAGTTCCGGGCAGATGAAGTATGAGGTAAGCTTTGTGCATGCGCCGCTCAGAAGTGACGCACGCGGAAGCGAAGGGGAGAGATCAAAACAAAACAACGGTCACTAATTAGAAGTACAAAACGAGGATTTGTAAAGAAGAATGTCGGAGGATTTCGATATTGGCCAAGAGGAGACTGGTTTTCCTTTGCTAAAGTAAGGAAACTTTGCTTCCTTTGCTCCTGTTATCAAATGTTGGTTTTTACGAGACTCACTGGCGCATGCGCTGCGCTGACCTCATACGTCATCCATCACGGAGCTGCTTCCGTGTAGGACTGTTGGCGCAAGCTACATTAAAGTGATTATTACGTTTTGAATATGGATATTTTTCTTACAAAAGTGCATCGATTCGCTACAGGAGGCCTTTGTTCACCCCGCGGAGCTGCGTGAGACACTTTTTTATGGATGGGAGCTTTTTATTTAACTTCTTTTTGACTGATGCATACAACACCCGCTGAGTTCCATTAAACAGCTTGAAAGATCAAAGATAATTTTTAATATACCTCCGACTGGATTCGTCTGAAAGAAGAAAGTAATATACACCTAGGATGACTTGAAGGTGAGTAATTTATAGGCTAATTTTCATTTTTGGGTGAACTAACCCTTTAAAGATATAAAGTCGCTTTGTGACATACAGTAGCATTGTGAGACAAAGTCAAAATTGGGAAAGAAGTTTGCAATTGCGAGAAATAGTCACAAGATAGAAAGTCGCAGCTACGAGAGACAAAGCCTCAACTGCAAGACCTGTACTCCCTATGAAGTCGCATTATGACATGAAGTAACATTTTGAGATGCAAAGTCAAAATTGGGAGAGATATGTTTGCGATAAAGTCACAGTAGTGACATCTTGCAATAAAGAAAACCAGTCACATTGCGAGTTAAAAAGTTGCAACTACGAGAAATAAAGTCGCAACTGGAAGACTTAAATTCACTTTGCAGGACATGAAGTTGCATTGTGATGTGAAGTAACATTGTGAGATAAAAGGTAAAAATTGGGAGAGATGTAGGGTTGCAATTATGGAAAGGTCACATTGCAATATTGTCAGTCGCAACAGCAAGATTTAAAGCCATTTAGCAAGATATAAAATTGCATTGCGACATGTGAAGTAACATTTTGAGATATAAAGTCAAACCGGCAGAGACCCAAGTTCCCTTTTGCTGGAAACAAAGTCACAGTTGCGAGGTACAGTTGCTAGTTGCAACCAGTGGCGTGCACAGACCTCCAGAGGGGCA